GCTTTCAGTACTCGTTAGCTTACTGCTACAATTAGACACTGCGCCCTGCCCACTCTGTGGCCAGATTTGAGAGAAATAAGCAACCAGGTCTATGAAAACAAGCCCCAAAGAAGCAACACATGATGTTGTGTAATTTGAAACCAAAACTAAGGCCTCAGGATGACTTTAAGACTTGAACATGTTCATTTTTGTTTTGTAACATTAAATACAACATTTCAAAAAAAAAAAAATCCCGATCCCTGATTTTTTTTCTTCCCGATTCCGATCTTTTGAAAATCACGTGATCGGCTCCAATCCCCGATCACGTGATCGGATCGGGACATCTCTATATGTAATGTATGAAAAACTTAGATCGCAGGTTCCTCAACAGTGGTGTTGGGGGGGCCCGACTTTTTTTTTTCTCCAAAGGGGGGGCCTGACAGAAAAAGTTTGAGAACCACTGATGTAATGTATGAAAAACTTAGATCGCAGGTTCCTCAACAGTGCAATTTACAAGACATAAAACATATATATATATAAAAAACAACAATACAAATCTTCTTAGTTTCATGGCTTGTGGGATGAAACTATCTGGTGGTTTTTGTCCTGAAGCTGCGGTACCGCCTGAACAGATAGGTTATTCTTTTTGAATCGTAATTTACTAATTCCATTTCTCGTGAAAACAAAAAGTCCTGCCTTGCTGATTGTCCTTTTAGTTTCAATCTAAACCTTCATATGGGAATGAGAAATGATTCCTTCATGGATAAGTAGAGATTTACAAATGGTGTGCTTTGCTTTTATTCAGATTGAAGAACTGAAGAAGAAAATATCAGTAATCTCACAGCAGCCTACATGCAATCCAGTTTTCAAACGATTCCTCACTAGACTCCGGAAGGAAATACTAAGAGTTGGTCTGGTAGGTGGTCTTTTCAACTGTTAACGCTTTGTCATGTGACTTTAAATAGGTCTTTGCCAAACTTAAATTGACCCAAGCTTTTTTTGCAATCATCTTGTGGCCCTCATTTGACAATGCTACCTGTCCCCGTTCCTCCCTAGCCCAGTGACTCAGCAGAAGTCTTTTATGATGCCAAAATCAGAATGTCCTTCCAAGCCATGACAGAGATTCAGGCTCTCCTGGAGGGCGAGGACAGCTGGAGAACCGGCGCTCTGGACAACGCCATCAGTCAGATTCTGGTCGATCTCAGACCACATGACTACGAGGCATGGACGTGGCATTTTGAAGACAGCTTTGGCGTGGAGCTTGACACAATATTAAAAGTAAGCTCATTTATTCATCTGAAATCTTTGTCTATGAGTTGAAAATCCTTTACATTATGTATTATTATTATTATTATCATAAAAAAAATAGTCACTGTTCAGAATTAGGGCTTTAAAATAAGTGTAGTCTTAAATAGTTTTTGCGTGTGTCTTATGTGATATTGGATCATGTGTTGCAAAGTAACAGGTTAATGTAGCCTTAAAATGCAAATTCTTAATGTCTGAGTACTTTTAAAATGCTTTAGTTGTATATTTTCTGTATATTTTCCCAATCTTGTGTAACTATTCGCATTGTGTTCTGTTTTCTCTGTTTATTCCAGATAGGCCTCTGTGTGCTGGTGATGGTGGCCATCATATCCACTCAGCTGTGGTCCACGGTGTCCTGGTTTGTTCAGTTCTGGCGGCTGTTCGCTGTCTGCTTCCTTGTCAGTATTGTCTGGAACTGGCTCTATCTGTACAAGGTGAAGGTCCATTGCTTGTGTTAAGCTGCCATTCAATGCCGCTGTTCTTTCTTTTAGCAGGTTTGTAATACTACTGTTTTTTAAAATTTGTTTTTTCAGATTGCCTTTGCTGACCACCAAAGAAACCAAGTGAAGATGGAGAACTATGAAAAGTGCACTGGAATTAAGAAATTTGACTGGAGTGACAGCTTGAAAGGTGATTACAAGTGTTAATATATTTGAAAATGCATGGTTTCCACTGCACAGCAATAGCATGAAGAATAAATAATGATAGTGTCTATGCTTCTATAACAGTATCGGTTCGTTAACAACGTTGACATTTAAAAGCCATTGAGGCCATTAATGGAATATTTTGATAATAATGAGTATCTTTTAAACTGATGTTTGACGGTAGATGTTTGTCGACAGGAGGCACTAATACTATGGATACCAAGATTTAAAGAAAGAAGCTTGAATCCCCGAATTGAATTTCAGTTGATTTCCTAACTGCCTCTAATGTCTTCAATTGTTTTTCTACAGAGTTCTTCAGAAGCACCTTGACTCTTCAAGATGACCCCTGTAAGAAATACTATGAAGTCCTTCTGGTCAACCCCATTCTGCTGGTACCTCCAACCAAGGTATTTCACTGTAATGCCATGTATGTGTTTCCAGTCTAAGTACACACCTTGTGACAATAAATGTTACCTATGTACATCAAAACATAAAAGAGCCAAAATGTTGCATTGTTGTTTTAAGGCAATAATTGAGGAAGAATATAAAGCATTTTACTCTGTTAAATGGGAACATATTTATAAGACAATCAAGAGTCTTCTATTGGTTTTGAATATCTATATTGGTGTGGAAATAGTGACATTTTCCTCTCTGTTTAGGCGATCGCAGTTACCGTCACGACCTTGATCACGGAGCCGCTGAAGCACATCGGGCAGGGTATCAGTGAGTTTCTTGTTGCCCTCCTCAAAGATCTACCGATTACCCTGCAGATCCCAGTTCTCCTCACCATCGTGCTTGCCATTGTGGTAAGGAGTGTTGATAGATACACTGACCCTCATCAAATGAATATTTCTCTATACTGATATATATTAATCGAATCTACAGGTTTGCATGTATGGAAGTGTGCAGGCAGCCTTCCAGTATGGCATCGCTGCTCCTTTCCGCCGACCTCGCAGGGATCCCCCTCCTCCACAGCTGGAGCAACAGCAGCAGCCTCGAATCCAGCAGATCGAGGGCGGGGACTACTTAGCAGGCGGGGACTACTTAGCGGGCGGGGACGCACCACAACCTGCCCTGAGGCTCCGAGCTGCTCCTGCTAATGGTGGAGGGAACCAGGTTGGTCAGAGGCGGCCCCAAAGACCCAAGGAGGAGCGAGCCATAGAGGTTGTGGGAACACTTCACGCAGCCGAGCCCCCCTACAGCGAGGATGAGGCAGATACTGCGCAGAGTGAGCCGGAGCAGATTGTCTCTGCTGGGTCAGAAAACCAGACGGAGACACAAGAGATGGAAGGAGACAGTGCTGCTGCTAACACGACCAAAACAGAATCTAAACCCGCTGAATCTCCAGCAAAATCTAAACCTCTGAGAGGGAAAGAAGTACCTCCTCCAGAGCAACTCAGCAAAGATAGTGCGGCAGCTCGCTCTGAGCCAGAAGGAAGGCCGCGTGCACAGACTGATGTCCAGGTGAGTGGTTTAACTACTTGAAAACTAAATTAAATTAAAATTAATAATGTCTGAGTTTGGAAAAATACTGCTTTCTAACTCTCAAAGTACCCTGTTTATTTTTTAATGCTTCAGCTTTACCCATGCCAAAATGGGATGGAGAGTATTCACAGGCGACATAAATTGGTAAATAAGTATTTCATAACTAGTTCATATTTTAATTCCTCACTTCCATGTGTTTGTGTTTTTACGATCCATATTGTGAATGTGTTCAGCCAGTAACCTTTGGATAAAATGTATAGCTGTATTTTCATGTCCTGGGTTTCTGCTGCCACACCATACCTCTTAAGTTTGTTAACATTTAACACAAATAATGTACTAAGTGAAGTGGAATACCAATTTCAACCAAAGTACCATGACCTACTGATAAATGAATTTGATGATATCCAAAATCTGAAGAAATTAATATTTTCTTCTCGTTTAGCTTCCAAATAATAATTCTCTGTATGACCATAATTATTCTACTTTCTCTTTCCTAATGAGTATAGTTGATAGATATATATCATTTAATCTTTTCTTATCAATAAAGAAGTGGAATTCCATTGCAAAAAGTACATTGAGTTAATAATTGTTTAATTGCCATTTGTAACATCTTAGTCAGATTAGACCAGGGGTTTACAAATTCTGATACTGTGAGCCAAGATAACTTAATATCGCTGTTTGGAATAACATCAGGCTACATTACGTACATAAAAAAAATCTGTCATTAAAACTACTGTGCCTCTGACCTACCTCCTTAATCCAACACATTAAGACTATATTATATGATCCATGGAAAACGAATGCATCTATGAATGTAATCTGTACAAACTGTGAACCCCCTAAGACACATTTTGTGATGCATTGTGATATTAGGCTATATAAATAAACGTTGATTGATTGATTATAATGTTTTTCCTTTTTATTTACTGAGTCTCTGTTAAATCAGTATTCAGCATCCCTTAAAAGACCGGCCTCCCAGTTTGAAAACCTCTGGTATAGACATTTAGGGACTCAAGCCAGCATTAGGCTTAATTCCTTTACGAGGCAGTTGCTTTATTAACTCAGTAGACGTACAGGGGCTCAATCTATTATTCCTGAATCTATTATACTTTGCTTTATGAATGTGTTATTTGCACATCTTTATTTAATCATTTAACCTTTTTGTCTAATATATTTCTGATGTTTACCTCGTCCCAGCAGGACCTGCAGGCTCCAGCAGAGGACAGGACCCCCTCTGTCTCGCACGTTGAAACCGTCGGAGTTTCTGTTCAGGAGACGTCTCCAACAGGAGCGGAGTAGGCAGCTTCTGAGCAGGAGGATTTAGCGTCTTCAGTGTTTGGTGCTTTTTGTCGGACTGTGATGCAAAGGACAGTTACGACGTACAGGCATTGTTAAAATGTGCATGCACAACATTTCAAAGGTTCAATCAGGGAGCCAGTCCAGTGTTGCCAACTAGCTGTATATTTCTGCCGTGCAGCCAAAGGAAGGTATCTTTCCCTGAGTGTAGATACCAATGTTGTTTGATGAATCTGTTAATTATTTCAGGTTTATTTTTGCTTCTGCTGTATTTCCTCAGTAAGAAAGAGCTTAACATTGTATTAATTGCACAGCAGCTAGACTTAAACAGCTATCAGGGAAACGGATTTGTTGAAAGTCAGTATTGTTGACTTGATCTGATGTTTCAGTTTTAGGAATCATGTTCTTACAAACTAGGTTTTCTTAGTTTCACTGTAATGATAACACAGACTGTTTTGATGATTACAATGCACACTTGAAATATAAATGTAGACTTTGTAACGTATAAGGGAGGAAAAAGATTTCCTAGTGCTGTTTTCACAAAATGATATTTTTGTGATTTTTTTATGTTTTGTATGAGGGCTTAAAAGTTAATGTTGAAGTCAATTGTTATGGGCAGCAGTGCTAATTTACTAAAAGTGGTAATTATGAATTTCATAGATTCCTAAACCAAAGTCTACATTACAAAATCATTGATATAAATGATTTAATCAATAAAAAATTGAATAGTCAGGTAAGTATACTGTCACAACAGAAAATGGGCAGCAATACAGTCTTTCTCTCCGCAGATTGTTTAGGCTTTCAGGCTCAAAGATTTAATTTGCTCGTTTCATTGTAGACTGTAGAATTTGCTGGACACAAACACGACTGTAAATGAATGATAATGAGGCTACATGTCTGTTGACTATGCTCAAATGTTTTCAACATTAACTTTATAAGGTGATCATATATCCATGTTGTGGGGGCAGTTTATTGTCACTGTCCCCAAATGGCCAAAGAAAAAAAAAATGTAAATAAAATGAACTCCTTTAGAAATAAATAATGTTTCCTATCAGGTTTTTAATTCCAACACTGTTACATTAAGGGGTAATTATTGGTAGGCAATACAGTATTGTTCGATTTTTGCTTTTTCTAGTGTGGAGTTACTCAGCTAAAATAAAACCGAAAGAAGAGGTTTGGCAATTTGAATTTTTTTTACTTATGTCAAATCCCTATGTGTTTGTTTTTTTGTAGATATGACCTAGGATTGGATCATAACGGGGTATTCAAATGGCGGACAGGGCTGTATCATTGTGGACACTGATGTCAGCTTCTTTGTATTTCTCCCTTTTTTTGCACCCAGGGGCGATGTTGCTTGCCATAATTAAAAGCACTTGGTAGATACAGGCTGATTCCTATGAATGAGGACTAGGGCCACATGAGAAAAAAACATTTTTGGATTTGACCAAAAGTCAAACAAAATGTTGAGTTCAGTTTTTTTCTCTAAATTCTGAGATACTTTTTAGTACACTTTTGGTCACCTCCCAACATCATGTGGCTTTAATTGTCTTCCGTAGATTACAGATTATTTTTTAGACTCAATATATTAAAACATGACTATCCCTAAACCAACAAAAATGTTTGGGTTTTCCTCACCAGAATGCTATTCCTAAATTAAATAAAACATTATAAACCTGAATTATAAAGATTTGGAGACTACGTTTTTTATTATTATTGAAGAACAGAAACGATAAAGCAACTTTCTTCCGTTTTTTGCACACAGTCTGTTTATATTTGTGCCATTACCAAAGACGATCGTGTTGGTGACCCCTGGTGGTTCAGCAGACCGCAGATTGGAACCCTTTTCGCCGCCTGAAACTAATTTCCTGATTGGCTGAGTGGAGGGAGCTGTGTCACAGAGCCTATCTATCTGTCGAGCCTCCTCTCTGTTGTAACTGTGAGTCCGTCAGCCTTTTGACAACTAAAAACTCGCTTTTCTGCTGTGTCCACGTGGATCATCTATCATGGAATTATTAGTTCGGTATCTGGACCGCAGCAATTCAATTTGGTAAGTATTCGTTTTAAGAAACTAGCACTAAAACCTGTAAAAGTTGTTTTCAAACTAACTTGAATGTTAAATTATTTTAAAATGGTGTTTCTGAAGTCTAATATGTAGGTTAAACCCATGGTTAAACCGGACAAAATTAACATAAAGCCTATTTAAATGACGTAGATTTGTCTTTCCAAAAACAACAGCACCACTCAGTTAATTATTCCTGACAGGACCAGACAGGTAGTTAAAACAACTCATTTAGCAGGAAAACGGCTATAAAAGTGTGTATATATATATATATATATATATATATATATATATACACAAATCTCCTTAAAGTTAATTTCCAGCAACTGGAAAAATAAGTAGTGAGATTTGAACTCTGTCAGGGAGAGCTTGTGGGCAACACATTTAGGAAAATATTGAAAGTGTACTTTCTAACCTTGGACTTAAACCCAGGCAGCCCCATGAATGCATTCAGTGTACTGGGCACACGCAGTTCTTCCTGTGAAAGATGGCTATTGCGCAAGTTTATTTTTCATAAAATAACTGCTTTCACTTCTGTTTCTTTTCTTCCGGCCTGCTGTTTCCTGTCCTCTTCATTTCATTTTATTTATTTCATTTTGTCTCACAGCTTTTGCACAACATTGCATGTTGTTTATCTTTCAGCTCTGTCTCAACCCAAGACATTATCAAAGAGGACACCCTGAGAGATGACCTAAAGTATTACTTTATGAGCCCCTGTGAGAAGTACCGGGCCAGAGGACAGAAACCCTGGAAACTTGTGGTGCAGATTCTGAAAATCGTCATGATCACCACACAAGTATGTACAGTGGGATTAAGGTAGATGAGGAAATAAGATCCACCCATGAAATGCTTCCTTGAGCTGTAATCAAAGGGATGATGTATTTTGCATGTTTGACACAGGGTCTTACATAATGCGGGTACGCCTGTTTCTTTTTAAATGGCAGATACTATATAAAATACTCCCCAATTGTTCATCTCTGCGACAAGGAGCCACTCCAACCTGCTTGTATTCTGCTCCGAAATAGAAAGCTGTTTCTGACCAAAATATGCAGCATCTTCCTCAATTTAATTATTTTACAACTGATTATATTGGGGAGATATATATATAATAAAATATTTTTATAAATTGAAAAATGACTTTGCTACTTTTAATTAAAGAATCTACATGCTAGGAGGTAAATCTTTGTATGTGATCTTCAAATGCAGGGAAGAGAAGTTCCAAATACGTTTTGTAAATTAAGAACAATGTAACTGACTAAAATATAAAAAAAAGGTATAAATGTTACCTTCATCAAGTATTCACATAAAAACATACATTTTCTCTAAATGTTTCCTCTGTAGCTCATCCTGTTCGGCCTCAACAACCAGCTGGTGGTGTCCTATAAGGAGGAGAACATGATGGCCCTCAAAAACCTCTTCCTGAAGGACTACAGTGGGGTGGATGAGGACGACTACAGTGTTGCTGTTTACAACCAACAACAAGTCTACGACAGCATGTTTTTTGTCCTGGATCAGGCAAGTTTAACCCCCTCACCTCACACACTCACACTCCCTGCTTATGCCTCTAGCAGTATTTCTAATATGTCTTAAATGCAGCTTTATTCCCAAAAATGAGGTTTATTTAACGATGGTGGTGTAGATTTGACTGGGCAATGCACTTCAAATGTATCCCTTTTTGTAGCTTGTTTGCATAGTTTGATAATGTTAGTTCACAGAGAATAATGGCTCTCAGAAATAAGCCTGTGTTCTTGAGGAATCGTGACAATCCTGCATACAAACGTTTAGAAACGTTAAGACAATCCATACAGGGATAAGACAAACATATATTTCTTATGTTTCATGTAAACACATAATAACCAGGATAAGATTTTAACTGTGATGTTTATATACATGTAGAAATACAATTAATGGTGACTGCTATGTTTTATGTAGTTGCCTAATATTTAACCAATAATATGGCAGCTTGTAGCTTCCCTCGTACATCATGTAGTCCCCCTGATACAGTTTGTTTTACTGATGCTCATATTTATAGTACAGCCAGTTGGGCCGGCTCTCGGTGGGTCCCATCAGTTACGCTGAGGATGAAGAAGGTAAGCTGCTTCCTCTCGTCCTGTGTAAAGAATACTACAAGAGGGGCACCTTGGACCCCTCCGATGAAGCCTTCGATATAGACGCTGAGCTGGAGACAGGTGAGAGAAAACGACTACTTTTTATCTTCCTTTTAAAAATAAACACACTACACTATTGTGTTGTTATTTTTCTGCACTTTTTCCTGCAATTTAAATTCAGTTGGACATTTGTATTAAGTCACAGTACAGGAATGAATCCAAACTTGGATCACCTTTTACATTTACGGAAGTTCAAGTAGCAATACTACAGTGTACAAACGATTTGACAGGTTACATTCTAGCATTCCAAATTACATAGAAGTACCCAGGGGCGGACTGGGACTAACAATCTGCCCGGGAAACTAGACCGGCCGACCAGCCCAGCTTGGTACCGCTAGTCAATTGTCAACGGGGGTGGGGAGGTGGGGGGGGGGGTGCTAGTGAATTGGCCCACTTCGGTACCGGCTTATTAGCAGCAACATATACTTATACAAAATTGTACATGTAAATTCAGTACATCACTACATGTAATTGGCCCTCTCCACAGCTCTTTGCAGGTGCTTTTAAAGGAATATTAATTAAGGACTAAAACATATAATAATTCAGATACATTTTACATTTCAAAGTTTTGCGATCTTTGTTACGATTAAAAAAAAGTGATTATTTATTTACTAACTTTATGAGGAAAAAAAACTTTTGAGGAAATAAAAAGTCCCATTTTCTCACTCTGTTCATCTCCTCTCAGTTTGTATGTCACATGATCCAAAGACTGCAAACCAATGGAGAACCCAGAATTCCTCCTTTTTTGATCTGGACTTTTACAGGTATACATCCTGCTCCTATCTCCTATCCCTGTTCTGTATATATCACAGCTAACCCACTTACTTTTCGTTGATATAATACATTTGACTTCCCCTTTTTCCCAGGCTTGTTGACATCAAAGCAACCTTCCAGCTGAAAGGAATCAACCTGCAGACTGTGCGATCACGGGAGTTACCTGACTGCTACTCCTTCTACGTTACGGTATGGTTCAACCATATTCTCAACTATATTCTTAAACCATACAAACCACACCAAAAATGAATCCAAGTAGACATTGTACTGCTGTCAACTGAGACCTTTTGCCTACACAACATTTTATGATAGTACAATTACTTTTCTAATCCCTTAATTGGTCTACTTCCCTATGGCCTTGTCCCCTAGATAACATTTGACAACCAGTGTCACAGTGGAAAGGTGAAAATATTCCTGGACATCGACGCTCAGAGCTGTGCGTGCAGAGACTGGAAGATATCTGGCATTGGTAAGGAGTGGATGTCTGTCCTTATGAAGAAATAAAAAAAGATACATTTAAAACCAAAAAAAACGGTTTGATAAAGTTTAGTTACAAGTCATCTTACCAAGGGTTAAGACAGAGGTTGGCATACACATGAATATTTGTAATATTTACACTGGCATATTTTAGATTTAACAATGTATATTAAATTAGATAAGATTTATTTACTACAAAATAAGGAGAAATGGTAAATGTTTAAATATCAACAGTGAAAGATGTTCATCTATCGAATCTACAATATATTTATACAGAATTAAAGTTATGTGAATTTCGTGTCAATTAATATCGATAGATGTTCCACTGTGGTATGCGGTCTGACTTTTAAATACTTGACTGTACTAATACTGTATTTTTCTGAAAACATATAAACAGAATAATTTTTCCGCCAAAAAATGTACATTCCTGTTACTGTTTATTGATATTTAGGCGTTTTCCTGTACACTTGTTATCAGTAATGAGTGTGAGGGAGTTATGTAAAAGATAAACCCACACACACACACACACACACACACACACACACACACACACACACACACACACACACACACACACACACACACACACACACACAAACGCACACATGCACAAACACACACTATGTCTGTGTTTCAGCTCAGAAGAACACACACTATCTGCTGGTGTTTGACGCCTTCGTCATTCTGGTTTGCCTCACATCGGCGGTGCTGTGCACTCGCTCCATCGTTCTGGCTGTCAGGTTACTGCAGGTCAGATGTTCGGTCTCACAATATATCAAAACATTTGTATTATCATACAAAGAATTATATTTATATCTCCTCGTTTAGTTTTTGATTGCTCTGAACTTGGCTGTTTTTATCCCTTTTCGTAAAGCCAAAATCCCCAATAAATAAAAACTTATTTAAATTCACATTAACACAACTTCCAAATGACTATTTATTTAAAACACCAGACATTGTGTTTTAGATCTTTAAGAGTCTTTATTTACATGTGTGTGTTTTCAGAGATTCTCCAGAGTCTTTCATGAGAACTACAATCATAAAGTGTGTGAGGATGACCAGAAGGAGTTTCTGAACGGCTGGTATGTGCTGGTCATCATCAGCGACCTCTTGGCTATAGTTGGATCCATACTGAAGATGGAAATACAAGCAAAGGTAAATCATGTATTTCTGTCTTATAAATAGGTAATATAGAGCCGAAAAAACTGACTTGGATAACTACAGGTCAAATGTCAAATAAACATAGAACAAGAAGCAAAATATATTTTTTTCGCACACTGTCAAAATGAAGTTAAGTATAAGATATAACAAAATCAGGCAAAAAAGAAAAAATGTCCCCCCTCGAAGGAACATGTGAAACAGTCACCTTTGCTTGTATGTCCTGTAATTTATATAGCCATTGAAGAATACAAATCAGGGAGTGTCTGGTGGACTTTGAAATGAAGTGTTTAATGTAGACACTGGCCGTTTCTCAATGTCGAGTAGAGCTGCTGCAGAGCCACTATTTCAAGTATACTACTCTAGCTCCACTCGACATTGAGAAACGGCCATAATAAAGATATTTTTTATTTCAACTTGACTCACTGTCATTTTTATAGCCACCATGCAGAGTGTTTGCCTCAAGCCTTTTAATGTTACCAATCCCCTTGATGCTGCTTTAGAATAGAATATAATTGGGGAGGGATGAAACCCTCTTTAATGGTCACACATGCAGAGCACAGCACACAGTGACATTTGTTCTCTGTTTTTAACCCATCCTAGTACCAGGAGTCTAGTACTAGGAGCAGTGGGCAGCTATTGTACAGCGCCCGGGGAGCAATGGGAGTGAGGGGGGAAGGGGGATGTCCGGTGCCTTGCTCAAGGGCACCACGGCAGGGCAGGAGGTGAACTGGGACCTCTCCAATTAGAAGTCCACACTGCATATTTAGGTCTGGTCGGGGACTTGAACCGGCGACCCTACGGCTCACAGTCCAAGCCCCTACTGACTGAGCCACTGCCGGTGGCTTAACAAGTCAAAATGCATTTTAATTTCTTGGTCACTAGGTCAAGTTAACTCAAACAGATAACTCGGAAACAAAACAAATAACTGGATGACTCCTTGTGCAGGAAATATGTAAACTTAGTTTAGATTTTCACACACAAAATGTCCGTTGTGAGTTATTTGTGTTATAACCAGGGATGATAAAAGCAAAAAAGTCACTTTTAAAGGTGGGGTAGGTAATTCACTTACGAAACACTTTTTGTTGTATTCCATGGAATACTCTTAACATCCCGATAGCAGCTATCGGGATGTTAAGAGTATTCCATGGAATACAACAAAAAGTGTTTCGTAAGTGAATTACCTACCCCACCTTTAAAAGTGACTTTTTTGCTTTTATCNCATCCTGTTTGCCTCAAGGGGGGGCCTATGTCACGTTATCGGAGACTCTTGTTGCACATACATTCCAGACATATCAGAGAACATGACTCGCACCATAACACCTTAACACCTTAACACACTTCTGGCAGACATGAAGGCTGACGACGTGGACTACGACCCTGTAGGCTGGGACTGGTGGTCCTGGCTCACTCGTCTGGCTGACTGGCCAGAATAGTCACGCCACTCCTCACCATCATAGCCTTGCTCTTCTGCTGTACATGCTGTGTAGTTCCCCTCATGAAGAAATGTTTTTTCTATTATGATCTCCTCTGCATTTGTGCAATACACCGCTCTCCCTCAAACCACTGACAAAGTTACGGCCAACCCAGATTCAGCCCCCACTGATTCCGACACTGAAGAGTCGGACACCGAATTGTAAAATTGTGTGTAAAGACTGCCATTCCCTCGTTTCAGTATTCTTTTTTTTTCCACATACGGATTCTAACCTCCACAAAAACAGCCACTTTCCAGAATATGTTTATGGTGTGTTTACTAAAACCAGCGGATGGAGTGTATTCATTGATGTGTTATATCAGTCTATCCTGTCATTTGTTTTATTTTCATGTTTGATCAAGTATGATCAAAAGGGGGGAATGTAGTGGCAATTTCTTATGTTACCTTATATGATAAAACCAAATGCTTCTGAAAGCATTGTCTAACACTACTGTACCATTTCTTCATATTTGCTGTTTCATCTGTTGTCTCTAATGAGGATTATTATTCTCAAGCGCTTCAAGGCCACAGAGCTGATTTGGCAGACTATGTTGAAACTACTCCTCTTCACACAAAGTTTGAACTTCCATATTCTGATAACCATTATACTTTCTACAGCTCAAGGACACAGGTGTCTAATAACAATATGAGACATCCGTCTGAAAGCGGATTTCTGAGGCGTCCCGCCTAGCTACACAAAAACTCTGTCTGCCCGCCCTATCTTGTATATAAGCTTTGCTATTCTGTGACTATTGCACACACTCCTGCAGACTTGACAGTCCACTCCTAAAATTGGACTTACAATGTACTTAAGGTAGGGTAGGTAAGAATGAAGAGACCAGCTCGAGTGCGCTAGAATTTGAAACTACGCAGCCGGAAAAAAATCTGCCCCTTCCTTACAGAGCCCCTCCTCTAACACACACAAACGCACGCATGACCAATGAGGGCACGAGATTAGTTTGTGCACAGATGGAAGGCTGACAGGCAGGTAGCTCATCCAGTTACTTTAGCCGGGCCGGTTCAGATGATAGGTTGTGCTTTTTACAGCGCCACGGCTTCCACAGATGACATTTTTATTGTATTGTATTTATTGTCAAAGCATTTAATATATTCATTGCTATCGGGATGTTAAGAGCATTCCATGGAATATAACAAAAAGTGTTTCTAAAGTGAATTACCTACTCCACCTTTAAAGTATCGAAATAACTTAGTCTTACTTTATCCTAGGTTATTATACTATTCTGTTTTTGTAAAAGCATTCTAATTGTGTAGATTGTCAATGTGGAAATAATTTCAGATACTGTTTACATATGGGTAGATTAGCAGTCAAATATGTCATCATATCATTAGTATAACGTTTCTATTGACTGTAGATTGACTAAACAAAGAACGTTTAGGAAAACTGTCAAAGCATCTTCTATTTGCATAGAATCTGATTACAAAAAAGATACTTGCATTTAACAAAGTCCCTGTAACATCCGACACCCTAGCACTACTTCTAAAGGTCACACACTGTACAGTGAGAGGGCACGTATCTTTGCAAAAGTAAGTATTGGCTTAGTTTATCTTTGCATGTTAAATAACAAATGGATATCGTCTTTATGGGATGCCATATTTTCTATAGTGTCTTACACATATTTACAAAGGAGGAGGTGCAGAAGACAGACAGAAGCATGACGGTTGATGATATGGAACGACAAATACAGAAAGGCAAACGAAGAGATTGATGGCTAAATAAGAGTACCTGAACTTTATGAGAGAGGCCAAGCTCACCAGAATGTGATATTATCTAAACACAACATCCCACGGCGAGGGTATGGATTGCAGCTCTTGAAGACGTGTGGGATGGCAAGTCCTAGGACATCCTCTGTTTATTCCTTCAGTAAATACACCAAGGATCCTGGTGGGGCTGACGGCACACTACAGTGCGGTGTCCCCCCGGACACCGCAGTGTAAATATCGTGACCAAGTCTTACTTGACTGTAACAATGGGCAAACAGGGAACTGAAACCTGTTTTAAGTCAACAGCTGGCACTGAGAGCCAAGTCACTTTCACTTCTGCTGAAACATCAGTGTATGTGGAAGTAGATATATATATTATAACGTTTTCTAGTAATTTGGACATGGTTCCATTGAATGCTGTGCACCATTTAAAATACATTTCTCATCACTTGTTGTTGATATATAATAAGAAAAAAGCTTAATTATTCAATAAGCTTCCAGAGCTATAGTCCATAAATGAAGTGTATGTGACCCTGACCTTATAAGCACATTTCATATGAGTCCACAACTTATTTTCAGTAAATATTCCACTTCAGTTTCAGATTATAAACACATTTCCATTTGGTCAGTGGGATGTCGCTTGGCTCTGAGGCGGCTGATCTCACCCTATCTCACATCTGTCTCTCCTACAGTACGAGCATTACTTTGTTTAGACGCCCACTGCTGCTCTGACTTCCGTAAATAATTTATCTTAACGGGACAGGACAGCTAAACACACACATGTTTTCCCTGATGACACTTGTTGTCCAAGGATCGCCCACTTAGGTTCACTAAGTTAAAGCTGTACGTCTCCCCTATCCAAACCCTTGCTGAAGTTAGGATCCCATGTAGCATACAAAAACAATCAACATAAAAAACAATATTTAACAATATCTTTAGTTTCTAACTTTATAATTTCTTAGACTTATTGTATTGGTGTGTCTAATAACCTGCCAAAAAAGCATCCATTTGGGGAAGGTTGTTAGATCGTTTCGTGGTCACTAAGGGGTTCAAGATGCTAATCATGACTAGTGTTGCTACTAGTAACAATTATTTTAATTATTATATGATCTGTTCCTTTTTTTCCAAGCCAGTTTCTCAAAGATTTGTATTAAAGTCTTGTTTTGGCAATTCAAAACCCCCCAAAAAACAAAAAAAAAATATATATATGTAGGGAATCCATAATTGCATGACGATTACTTTAACGATTGATTAATTAATTATCATCACTTTTTTTCTGTCTAAAGTATTTCCCAAATTGGGATCAATAAAGTATACCTACCTATCTATCTAACTAATCAAGTAGTGTTGCATCATGAAATCCCCAGTTTCCTGTGTAGAGGACTTTTGTTCCAGGCCATTCCCAATTTTCCTCCACTTATTTCCCAGCATCTCTACACTCACGTCACTCTGATTAAAAGCAATATGAATCCCCCAAAACACTTGAATATCTGTGTGTGCAATTTGGTTGCAAAGAGAAGAAGGCTGCTCTTTCTGGAGAAGGCATATACTGACGCCTAGTGGTTGTATAACCACTGTCTTTAAAGACAAGCCGCTGTTCAAGGACAAGGAAGCAGTTGTTTCATATTCCTCAGTTTGCAGGACATACTGTTGACACAGCAATGAAAAGGCCATTTACCCTGGGAGAAGTCTGACGAGTTACTGAAAGCAAAAACATTTGGATAAAACCTTCAAGGATCCTAGAAATAATAACCTATATTATATTAAAAAAAAATAGGGTAAACATGGTAGAGCTGGTAATATTTTAAATTTAAAAATATGTGTAAACAGTACAGGTAAAATCAGTGTTGTATTGCATGATTCTCACATGTGAGAACATGTGTGTAATTACCATGGATACTAACTGGAGTTCACTTGCAAAGTATGCGTTCAATCACAGTATGCTGTTTCAGCCAATTTAAAAAAAAACTTGCATGTTTAGAAACTTCTAATGCAATATTATTTTCTTTGGCTTCAGCAGTTCTGCAGGAAGGGGCGAGGACACTGAAAGAACATTAATAGTTCCCCTAATCTATCAAACTTCTGTAAATAAAAGCCAGTACAGAGATTCAGCCCAGCCCAATGATTAACTAATTTCTCTAATCTCAGGCCTCTCCACAGACCAGTATAGAGTTTACCTTCTCATGGTATGGTCCCAGGACGATCCACCCACAGAAGGTGTAGCCCAGGTAGATCATGCCGGCACAGCAGCAGAAACGCAGCACCTTTGGGAAGGCTGCTGTCATGGTCAGAATTAACACCTAAACACACAGGAAGTAAAAATGAAATGTTAAGCAATGCTTGGATTGTGAAAGAATGTGTTAACGCATTTTATTAGCGGTGAAGAAAGGTCACTTGGATTAAGAGAAAAAAGGTGTACAGACTCACATTGTATTTCTGGAAGTATTCCAGGTACCTGATCACGCCGGCCCACACCAATAATGTAGACGTTCCCAGAAATATACTGCACACATCATAACTGGTAAGACTCTACAGGAGATTAAAACAAAATCACTGAGAGATCATTTAGCTATTGGTCCTGCTGTAACAATCAGTAAAGCCCTGTCAAATATGTAGTTTGTGAATAATGACACAGTATAGCCTCAGGTAACAGGAAAAGGTACATAAGGTCAGATGATTTTACTGTAACAAGCACATAATTGATGGTAAAGTTTTATTAGAGCTTAAAGTACGATGTATTTTATGTAGAACTGCAACAGAGGAACATCCTATCAATTGTTAACTAATGCGTGACTTAAAAGGTAGGTAAGAATGGAGAAGCCCCTCCTCCAACACACACATGACCAATGAGGGCACAAGATAAGTTTGTGCACAGATGGAAGGCTGACAGGCAGGTAGGTCATCCAGTTATTTTAGCCGGGCTGGCTAAAATAATTGGTCGTGCTTTTTACAACGCCACGGCTTCCACAGATGACATTTTTTAATGTATTTATTGTCAAAGCATTTAATATATTCATTGCACAC